CACTGCTAACAGAACCATGCTGCTAACAGGACCACGCCACTAACAGAACCACACTGCTAACAGAACCATGCTGCTAACAGGACCACGCCACTAACAGAACCACACTGCTAACAGTACCATGCTGTTAACGGGACCATATTGCTAAGAGAACCTCCTTCTAAAAGAACCTCAGTGCTAACAGAACCACACTGCTAACAGTACCATGCTACTAACAGGACCATGTTCCTAACAGAACCTCACTGCCAACAGAACCACTCTGCTAATAAGACCATGCTGTAGACTGTTGGAGTCAGTCTCCCCACCATCACAGACATCTACACCTCCAGATGCAGGAAGAGGGCCACCTGCATCATGAAGGACCCCACTCACCCAGCACACACACTTTTTGCCCCGCTCCCCTCAGGAAGGAGGTTGAGGAGCATTAAGTGTAGAACCACTAAACTGAGGAACAGCTTCTAACCTTAAATGCATCATCACTAGATCGAGTGCTGCTTATACTTTTTATCATCCCAGCTCAGAAGTTAAGGTCATAAATCAAGGTCAAATTTAAAGCAAGGTCTTTGCTTGTCCAGACCATTGCTATAGATTGCTGTATAATAGTTTGTCAAAAGGCGTATGATGTGTTGTTTGCGATACTCTTCTTTTTTTATTATCGGGCACACTGACGCATGCAAAAACCATGAAATAACTGCTTTAAGGAGAAACCCACAATTTAAATGCACATCATTTTGTTAAGGTGGGCACGTTTAAGGTGTAATTTAGTTGATGAAAAGCTAAAAACCCGGCGACTCTGAGTTTTAGTTGCAGCTTATTTTCGCCCAGCCCGTCTGCTCACACGACATCTTCTTATCTGAGCGACTTGCAGCAAATAATCAAAGCAACATGTGCCTGATTGTTTGGCACCGTTCACTGATGCTGCATTAGTGGCTGCAGAGGCAGAGAGGGGTGGAGGGTTGAGGGTTGGGGTGGGGGGGGTTGAACACGCTCCTTGGATGTTGCGACTGACACATTGTCATTATGACTTTGTGTTAGGTTGCCACTGTAGCGAAAAGTTGTAGCCATGATGTGATGCGGTTTGGCAGAGCAGGAGCCAGAGACGGCTAAAGTTGATTCATTTAAACAAACAGAGCAGAGGATCAAAACAAAAACCTTAAAAAGTATTTATAAATTATGAAATGGGACATCTCATAGGAGGAGCCCAACGATCAGTTTGTATTGGTGGTTAATATTCTCTGACTGAACACTCAGATAATTAATAGAATCAGAGCCGCTAACAGCTGATGGAGCTTTCTGGGTCATTTCCTTTCAGTCTGTTGTCACGTTGAATTAATTCTTAAACTGACTTCAAGTCATCATGACACGCTTCTCATAATCTGGCTCTGTCGCATATTTGTGCCTCATCCAGATTTAAATACATTTCGGTCACAATGACATGTTGTCCCAAGAGGACCAGGTTCATCTCAGAGCAGACCTTCAGTTATTTTAGGCTGGTTGGACTTTGGAGGACTTTAAAAACAAAATAAGTGGTTGGTTCCCATTTTTAAGTATTGGATGGACTTGTGCTCCTGGAGATTGCTGACATACATTGTTGACATCCCTGTCCTTCTTTTTTTAGATATCAATACTAGTATTACTTCTAATCAAGATGTTTCCAGCCAGATTTAAAATGAAAAATATTTCAAATAATTTTACTAATTGTAAAAAATACACTTATCAGATTTACAACAAAGATTGTGAGCTGAGTTTAGGATATTTAAACATAACGTTTAGAGAATGGGCTTTATCTCCATTTATCGCTGATCTGTGTTCGAGTCAGGGAAGCCACAGGTCCAAGAGAGAAAACCAGACCTCCATGTTCCCACTGAAGCTCTCCAGTTCCACCTGGGGGACCCCAAGGAGTTCCCAGGCCAGAGAGGGTATTCATTACCTTCTGGGTCGTCCCTGGAGTCTGTTACCTGTGGGACATGTCTGGAAAACTTCCTAAGGGATGCGTTCTAATCGGATGCCTGAATCACCTCAACGGACTCCTTTTGATGTGAAGGAGCATCGGCTCTACTCCGAGCTCCCCCCAGATGACAGAGTTCCTCACCTTATTTCTAAGGCTGAGTCCGGCCACCCTAGGGAGGGAGCTCATTTCAGCTTCTTGTATTCAGGATCTCGTTCTTTCGGTCCTGATCCAAACCTCACGAACACAGGTGAAGGCTGGAATGTAGACAGACCAGTATATCAAGAGCTTTGCCTTTGACTCAACTCTTCCTTCAGCACAACATACCAAAGCAACGCTCTCATTACTGAGGATGAGGTCCTGATATATAGATTAATCTCCTTCTTCATTCCTCTTTAACAAGATGTCCAGATACTTGAACTCCTCCACCTGAGGTGGTTTTATCATAAAACTGTATTATAAATGTCTCATAATCAGTACTTCCTTGTCAAAAATTATATTTTAGCCATCAAGCACGCTTTTCTTCTCATCAAAGGCCAAGACTTCAAATATTTTAAAAGCTATCCCTAAACTAATGACTTCACATTTCTCATTCATGTGAGCATATTCTTCCTGTCATCATAAACGTAATTGGTGTCAGGATCGTCCTCCCCGCACACCACCTGTACCTGTTCCTCGTTTGCCATTTAGCTCAGGTGTGTACTCGTGTTTGTCTGTGTTCCTGTGTCCGACCTCCCGTAAAGCACGACTCTGGGTATTTGAAATAAAATTCTTGCAAGAAGAAACTCTAATTCTGCTAATCAGGATTTTAATTTCACATGTTTTATGTAAAAAAGGCATCCCATCAAGTTACTTATTCGTCCATTTTCTTAACCTTCTGTTCAGGGTTGTGGTTAGTTGGTTCCTATCTGTAGTGATCATTGTGTGAGAAAAATATCTGAAATGTTGATCAAAAGTTGTAAGAAAGTCCTCCTGAGTATTCAAATCTCGTACTGCCTGTGCTTTCTGAAAGCTGAAGGTGATTTTGAAATGTAAAAATGAGATTTTCTGCCATGTTTTATTGGTAAAGGTGACAGAAAATGTACAAAGATTGGTTTGTCGATATGCAGATATAAATATTGCAATGACAGACAAAATGTGGTTGGCAGTCTACTTCTTTCTCGCATCTTTGTTTTCTTTACACCTGCTCTCATGCAGACTGCTCCTCAGCTGTTGCACTTCTCCTTCTTCCACCCTGATCCTCTCCTCTTTTTTCTTCTCCTCAGCCTCTCCTGGGCGGGTTGACATGGCCCAGTGATGAACGGAGCGGTGGTGCCCGGTAGCCCGGAGCTTTCCTCCTCGTGCCCACTGCCTGATTGGAGAGAGTTCTGTGAGCTCCACGCCCGAGCCTCTGCTGCCGATTTCGCCGACAAGTTCCAGCGCTTTTTGTCTGAGAACCCGTGCTACGACACACCTGGCGCCGATGCCAGCTTCTCACAGCATTTCACCAATCACTTCCTGGAGTGCTTCTCTGCAGCGCTGACCCAAGCAAAGGAGAAGCAAGCCTCCTCACCGGGGGAGGACAGCTGTAGCACGGCACCGAAGTACAGCATTGTCCCTTTCCTGGGAATCCAGGGGTGCCCTCTGAACTACGGTCACGATCTCTACCAGAGGCGCAAGGACACCAGGGCTTCGAGTGAGTCCCTGGACAGTATGGACAGCGGAGGAGGGACAGACGGTGGAGGCAGCACCAGCACCGCCTCCCGAGGCCCACAAACGACCCACAAGGTGTCTGTTCTCGGACAGTCTCGCAGCTCAGAGGACGTTTCAGTCAGCCACCCAAAGGCTCGCTTCAAGAAGGGCTTCTCCCTGAGGAACATGAGCCTGTGCGTCGTGGATGGGGTGAAGGAGATGTGGCATAGACGGGCCTCACCTGAACCCGATGCCCCCACAGGAAACAGGAAGGCAAACGGGGGAGGAGGAGGCGGAGAGGCAGGAGGGGGAGAGAAGTGGTCTCAAAAGCTGCGACTTCCCAGGGGTTCCCAGGGCCACAAGGCAGAGCAGCTGGAGATCCAGAGGGAGGGGGCGTTGAGGTTCATGGTGGCTGATGACACAAACTGTATGGGTGCTGCTCAGTGGCAGAAGTGTCGCCTGCTGCTCAGGAAGGCGAAGAGGGAGGACGGAGGGGAGAAGTTCCTGCTAGAGTTCTACGTTCCACCCAAGGTACATGAATAAACTCAGCCAACATCTATTGAACTGAAACACTGTCTAACATACAAAGACACTGTCTAACACACTGAGACACTGTCTAACACACTGAGACACTGTCTAACACACTGAGACACTGTCTAGCACACTGTCTAACATACCAAGACACTGTCTAACATACCAAGACACAGTCTAACACACTGAGACAATGTCTAGCACACTGTCTAACATACCAAGACACTGTCTAACGTACCAAGACACAGTCTAACACATTGAGACACTGTTTAACACACCGAGACACTGTCTAACACTAGCTTAAAACTAGGTAAACAAAATAAAAGTTTAAAGTAGCAAAACGCCAAGTACAAGCTTAAAGTAGCTAACAACTAGCTAAAAGCTAAATATAACAATATGCTAGCTAAAAGCTAAAAATAGCATAAATGCTAGCTAAAAATAGCAAAAAAAAGCTTAAACTAGCAAGTTTCTAGTTAAAAGTCAAAAGTAACAATAGGCTAGTTAACAGCAAAAAATAGCAAACAGCTAATTAAAGTGTCATGAATCTAGCTAGAAGCTAAACATATAAAAAGGCTCCCAAAAAATTTAAAGTAGCACAATATTAGATAAAAATAGCAAAATGCTAACTCACTGTGTCAGGAGTTAGTCACAAGCTAAAATTAGCAAAGGGCTAACTGAAAGCTAAAGGTAGCAGAATAGTTTTTTCAAATGAAACATTGTAAAACGACATTAAAGGAGCCCACATGCTGAAGCAGATTTAATGTTTTCAGGAATTGTACAGATTTCAATGTATTTCTATGGGATATATCTTTGTAAATAAAGTGAAATATTTGGAAAAACTTAATTTACATAAATCAAAAGTCATATCACCCATCTCTTGTCTGAGTTGATGGATGAATGCCTAAAATAACCCAAAGAATACAGAAGTAGTTTGACAGCTGACAAACAGAGTATAACTGTGTAAATGGATCAACGTTCACTTTATTAATCATTAGTTTGGGTCGTTCCTGAGTCTTGGATTAAAATGTGACCCAAGTCTGCTGCTGCAGCGTAGCTCAGCTCCAGAAACACGATTGTGCCTGCACCTTTCACGGTTGACTTTGTGGGATTTCCAGATGGTTGCCCCTGACCTTAAGCAGACCACGAGGCTGTGCAGCTGAGTGTGCGCAAATCTGCTGCTGCCCTTTGATGGTGGCTGCCGGTGGGAAAGTGGACGAGGCCACGCAGAAGGGTCAGGCCAGGTGGGAGAAGGAGAAAATATCTAAACACTGTGCAGAACAAGAGGAAGCTGCTTCACTGGTTTTTATAAGAGTTTCTCTTTCGTGTTTATTTTGATTGCTTCCTTATCTTTGGCAAACTCACTGCTGTGAGAAACAGAAAATAGGAACCAAAATAGTTTAGGAAGTCACTCGAACTCTGCCAGGTCAGTGAAAAGCTCAAGAAGAACTTAAAGAAATTAAGCATGTGAGAACCAGCGCCAGCCGTGGATGTACCTGATGGACCTGTCTAAATAAAGGTTGAATGAATGTAGCAGAGATCCTCCACAGCTTCTTCAGAGCAGCAGTTACATTCTTGAGGGCAGGTTCCTGAAAAGCGCTCTGTTCCCATTCACATCGTACAGATTCGAACATCATGCAGGCTGTAGTGTTGGAGGGATTAACCAAGTCAAAATAATTTTGCTTCTGCCCGCTGGTGGCTCAGGCTTCACCCTCTGCCCGTGTCATCAATCAGCCGGCTGCAGCACGCCAACAGACTGCATTATGCCACAACAGTGGGCCAAGATGACCCACTCTGAGCTTTTCAGCTCTCAGAATAATGTGTAGTAACTTTAGAGTATCGGTTGCAACACGTTGGAGGTTGAAGGTTCACCTTGCTGTAAAGAATCATATACATTTCATATGCATGCATATAAAAATGCTGTTTTTGCAGCTCAGCTCAACCATGCAGGCTCATATTTGTCATCACAGTCTGCAACTTCTCTGACAGATTGATCAAACATGTAGGTGTTCTATTTCTACAAGTTACTGTAAGACTAAAATCTTTTCATGTTCCCTGTTCAGAATGAAATTATTTAATGCTTCCTTATCTTTGTTTAATCAAATTTTATACCTTCAAAATGGCCACTGCTATTTTTAAATGACTAGAACATTTAAAGATGCTCATAATTATTATGAGTCTGAGATGAAGTTAGACACAAAGCAGTCTGCTCCTCAGATAAATAACGTTATTAAGTTTTATGTATATGAATGTTTCTGTTCAGTGCCCTGAGACGACTTCTGTTGTGACTTGGCGCTGTATAAATAAACTGAATTGAATTATCAATAATTACAATGATCACATTTTAAGAAAGAAGTAGCAGCAGTGGTGGATCGCTAGATTGCGTCTTTGTAGACTTATTTTTATGCAAATCTCAGTTACGGTATATAACTGTATTTACCGAGTACCCTTTGTTTGTTTGTTTGTTTGTTTGGGGGCTCTTTGCACTGCAGCCTGTGCTCATTTCAGCTCATTTTGCAGCAACAAATCACCTCCGTCCTTTTGATTAGGCCTGTCACGATAACAAATTTTGCTGGGCGATTAATTGTCTCAGAAATTATTGCGATAAACGATAATATTGTTTGAAATTTGACATTAATAATTATTGTCAAATTTAAGATTTTTTTTTCTTAAAAAAATAAAAGAAGAAATGTTTGTTAATTTTTGTGTGTAGTACTTTTTTTGACCATCGGATGGCAGTATAGGACTGTTTGAGCCAAAGGATAGATGGTGAGGGAGCGAGCAGCGTGTCTCTTTATGAAAAATGGGAGGGAGGCACCTTGACGTGACATGGGCTGTTTCTCGTTTCTATTTTTCGGTTCTCGAAATGGCGGATGCTCATTGTGGTTTGAGCTCTTTAGCATAGCATTTTTCACAAAAATTTTTAAATAAAAAAAATCAGTAAACAAGTTCTCAGCTTCTTTTTGCAGAGAAAAAACAACTTTTTAGACGAAGGCACGGGTTTCAACCGTGAATTTTGGAGCTTCGACAAGACGTAGGTTTTTTTTTCCCGAGGTCGGCCTGTTAGCTTAGCTTGTAACTTAGCTTCTCAGCTGAGCTGCTTTTAATGATACAAAAATGCGATTTTGGATGTTTACCTACATTTGTAAACACTTTATTCAATAAGAGAGCAACAACAGCTGTCTTCTTGTGCTTCGCTTCTGTCAAGCATCCTACCCCCCCTCACTTCACAATTCTGAGCCCGACTCTTCTCCGCTGAATTCAGTTCTGTGCGTTGTTTCTCCTGCTCCATTTTTTGATGAAAGTAAATTGGAACTTTCTTTTCGACATTTTGATCGCTGTTATTTTGACAAATTAGCACCGTCGTTTTGATACGTAATGTGAATAATACACATCAAACATTTCTCTCGTTGCAATTTTAATAAACAATCAAACTTTTATTAATAAGCCACTTAAACTGTCAAAACTGATTTGCAATTTAGTTGTGCTGTTTAATTATATTTTTTAGTTTTTAATAAAAATGTGCGATTACTTAGGACTTTTAGGGGCGGAGATTTGAGTTACTGGATCCGAGCTAACAGTTTCCGGAACGCACCCTGTCAAAATAAGAGAGTTCCCGGATCTTGTTCCTGCAGGATCCAGCTCAAATTAAGCTCTGCCTGGTTGACCTTAATTTAGTAGCTACGCTTATTCCAACGGAGCTAGTGGACATAACAAATGAACTGAGAAGGGCGTGTGTTGACTTTGAAAATCTGAACAGAAATGAAACTTTACACATGCTGCCTTGTGACCGTTGAGTGTTCAAACACTAAGAAACTGTGTTGAGCTTTACCATGACTGCACAATAATGATAATAATAATAAAATACTTTGAACAACAAGATAACATCAGTATAAACCCATATTTTCCTCACTCCTCGTTCTGTTTTGTCGTCACATCAACAAGATTTGTTGTCTGCTTTACCATCGCAGCAGCTATCATATAAATCCAGTACGGGCATCGTAAAGATACACGTTTGACATATCATGCAGAGCCTAACATTTGCCAAAAGGCCTTTTCCAAACCACTCCAAGAGGGTCTGGTAAAAACTCTTTGAGGTGAACAGGTAAGTACAGGAAGGCTCCAGATAGAAAAGGGCAGCATTTAGTTTTTGTATTTGTTTAAAGCTACCACAGTCTTAACTACAGTCAATTCCCAGTGAGGCTGGCTCACAATGGAGAGGTACAGGAAGTGGTCAGATTGTTTAAAACAGGAAGCGGTTTCTGACATCTGATCCAGTAAAAGAGCCGTGGGCGTGGATGGCATCCAGCTGCACAGGCAGATCAAGATGAAGACGGTGTCGCTCCAGACGGATCAGCTCGCTCCAGCCTCTGCTTCCCTCCACACACACGCACACACATAAAAGCGCACACACTGCCTGAAACACACTCGCAGGATCTGTTGAGATTATCGTCTGGATCTGTGCCTCTTTTTCCTGCCGGGGCAGGCCAGCTCTCTGTTTACCCTCTTATAAACTCTTCCTGTTTGGTGTTTGTTTGTCAGTCACTGAGACGATGTGGGGAATAAGACTCCGTGCACAAACCGTGCACTGCAAGTATTTCTTCAGATCAGGCTGTACTTCACTCGTGATGCTGCTCTTATTTTATCTCCCTGTTAATTTCAAAGGCCTTACCAACATCCTTAACTGTGTGTTTGCTCTTTTACTTGAGGTCTAGGAAAGGCTGTGTGGATTTCAGTGTTTAAACCTTTACCACTAATTTAAAGGTTAAAAAATATCCACTTCATGTTTTTAGAAGATTTGTCTGGGCTCCTACAGGGTTAAAAACAAGGTGTAATTAAGCCGTAGACTGTTTAAATGGTATATTCTCGTTTTTGGTGATAATAGAGGGGACAAAATGGTGCTGCCACCCATAGAGGGGCACATTTACAAAGTTGTCAAAGTCTGTGATTTTATCCTCTGTGACATTAAGGTTTATTTGCTTTCTCTGTTCAGTTCCAGTCCAGAAAAACACACATCTTGAAAACTACAAACATTCACTATTCAAATCCCTCAGCGATGGGGAACATTGGCCTTCTGCTTGTTAAAAGTTGTTTTTATCTCAGTAACAGTGTGGCGTTGTATTAGTTTCACAACGGACTGGTTGAACTGTAACATCGATCTGTGGAGCCTGTTTAGTGCCGTTGTTACTGTCAAATCCAGAATAGAATTCAAAATCCTGCTTCTAACCTACAAAGCCCTCAACAACCTAGCTCCATCTTTTGTTACAGATCTTATTGTTTCATGTTTTCCTAACGGAGCACTTCGCTCTCAGACTGCAGGCTTACTTGCGGTTCCTAGAGTTTCCAAAAGCAGAATGGGAGGAAGATCTTTCAGTTATCAGGCTCCTGTCTTGTGGAACAAACTTCCAGTTTCTGTCCATGAGGCTGACACATTGTCCAGTTTAAAACTGGGCTTAAGACTTTCCTTTTTGATAAATCCTATAGTTAGGGTTGGCTTGTTATGCTGCTATAGGCTTAGACTACTAGAGGACAAATTGTCCTCATTTCTTAAAAGAATTGTTACAACTGAATAATTTTCATTTGAAATTATTTCTGTCTAAACATGATTCTTGACCTGCCATTGTGTATCTGTTCCTCGCAAACCCAGCTGGTCGAAGCAGATGGCCGCATGTCCTGAACCTGGTTCTGCTAAAGATTTCTTCCTCATGAGGGAATGTTTCCTTTCCACTGTCGCCTTCATGCTTGCTCAAGATGAGAGTCTGCGATGAAGTTAAACTCAAAGCAGTCTGCTCCTCAGATCAATAATGTTAAATTAATTTTTATGTATATGAATGTTTCTGTTCAGTGGCCTGAGATGACTTCTGTTGTGACTTGGCGCTTTATAAATAAACTGAATTGAATTGTTGAAAACATTTATCCCACCGTGAGCTTTGCCAAGAACAGCTACATGTATTTAAAGTCAGTCATGTAAGTTGGTGATTCTCACATGTTGTTTTTTATGATAGTGAATGAGATGCTAAAGCATAAGAAAAGTGTTATGAGCATTTGGATGTCAGAACGGAATGAGAGGAGTGAGAAACAAGTGTTTTTTGTGCTTAATACCATTATTGTAATACTCAGCAGTAATATCACATGATATGCTATTTTATCTGCTCGGATTTGGTTAATTTAGTTAATTTTATTGAGTTTCAATTATTAGTTAAATTAATTTAACACTAACATCTCAGCTGTGACAACTACTTTTATGTTTAGATTCTCTTGAATGTGATTTTGAATGGGGAGCAGGTAAAGTATGAGAGCTTTTACGAGTCTCTTTGTTGCTTCTAGTCGTCAAAGCCCAAAGTGAACATCCCTCTTTCAGCCATCGTGGAGGTGAGGACCACCATGCCACTGGAGATGCCTGACAAAGACAACACTTTTGTTCTTAAGGTATGTTTCTGCGCAAGCCACCCATAACCACCTGCACCGGCATTAGCCAAATCTCCCAAATGACGCAAAAAAAATAAATAAATTGTGCTCAACAAAACAGCTCTTGAAAACAAGATGTTGGGAAATCATGCAGGTCTGAACGGTGCTCAGTGTGTGACTGCTGTGTTTGGCTGCTTCCACAGGTGGAAAACGGGGGCGAATACATCCTAGAAACCATCGACTCACTGCAGAAAAATTCATGGGTTGCTGATATCCAGGACTGCATAGACCCCGGGTAAACCAACAGATAAATATTTGCTGTTCGCTGAAGATGGAGAGTGGATGGGAAGAGGAAAGGAGGGGAAACAGTCATTAATCATCCAATTAGTGGCGTTTTTGACAGCCTGTTTGAGCGCAAACATTGGCCTCGGTTTTTCGGGATTAGTGGGCATTTTGTCGGTGAAGCTCAGGGATGTAAACAGAATGATTATTTGTGACCGTTTGTTGGAAGTGGATGTATAGAGTTGTGTTAGGATATAGTGATGTTTGTTTGCCTGTGTGTATATGCTCTCGTGGTTATCCTGACCTGCCTGCTTTCGTATAGAGACAGCGGCGATGACATCGAGCTGGCGTCATGTCCTCACGGTCAGGCCTCTAAAGACTGCTCTATGGTGGCGTCCTGCAGCTGCGAGCTGCTTTCCGAAGGTGAGCGAAGACTGGACGCTCTGCTGCGCGCCGCATAACATTTACATGTTTTCATCCTGACTAATCTTCATTTGTCCAAACATTTTCAGGTGTGTATCGAGTTCCGGAGAGGTCATGTCCTACAACAGCAGATCATTACAGTGCCCCCTCAGTTCGCTGCAGGGAACTTCCCTTCACCCAGCACCCGTCACACATGCCTTTAGAGCGCTTCCTCCAGTCACCTGAGGCCCAGAGCTCCAACTCATCTGCAGGTAATGACACCAGGTCAAGCATCAACATAAGTAAAACAGTAAAATAAAGAGGAAACTAATAAATATTTGTTTGTGTATCAGGCGGTGGCGAAGGAGCTAAAGAATCAGATGGTGATGCCAGCTTGATGGGCTACCCGTGGTTCCATGGTACGCTGTCTCGTGTGCGAGCGGCTCAGCTGGTGCTTGCTGGTGGAGCCAGGAGTCACGGGCTCTTTGTGATTCGTCAGAGTGAGACGAGGCCGGGCGAGTACGTTCTCACCTTCAACTTCCAAGGCAAGGCCAAGGTGAGGTACTGAGAGGAGAGAAAGAGCTAAAGCTTGAAATTACCCCTAACAAAGTGAAGTCAGGTCCTCTGGACGGTTTCTTTTTGTTGAACGGAAGAAACTGTCCAGAGGACCTGACTTCACTTTGTTGGATGTTTTTTACCTGGGTTATTGAGCATGAACTTTGATGAAATTATCCCTAATTTTCATTTTACATGGAGCAATAGATAAAGAAAATATAAGATGCAAAATATTTTTGTATCTTTTTAAAAGTAGTCTAGATCACTACTTTTCTGAGCATTCTAACTGTTCCTCAAAGTTTTTTTTGGAGAAGGGTTTGACTGGGGCAGCACGGTGGCGCAACTGGTAGAGCTGCTGCCTCTCAGCGAGCAGGTCCCTGGTTCAAACCCTGGTCCAGGGGCCTTTCTGGGTGGAGTTTGCATGTTCTCTCCGTGCATGTGTGGGTTTTCTCCGGGTACTCCGGTTTCCTCCCACAGACCAAAAACATGCATGTTAGGCTGATTGGTAACTCTAAATTGTCCCTGGGTGTGAATGAGAGAGTGAATGGTTGTTTGTCTCGTTTGTCTCTATGTGTCCCTGTGATGGACTTGCGACCCGTCCAGGGTGTACCCCGCCCCTCGCACAGTGATTGCTGGACATGGGCACCAGCGACCCCCGTGACCCAAAATGGAATAAGCGGGTAAAGATAATGGATGGATGGATATTTCAATGTAAATCTTATTCGTTCAAGGCAGTAATATTTGTTCATAACTTTATTTTTAGTAAGCTTGAGAGTTACCGGATCCAAGCAAACAGTTACCGGAACGCAACCTGTCAAAACAAGAGAGTTCCTGGAACCTGTTCCTGCAGGATCTGGCTCAAATTAAGAACTGGGTAGCTGTTAATAAAATGTGACCAACTGTACCCTTTGCGAGACATTGCTAGTGTGACACAATTACTAGTTGGATAGCTACTAGAAATTTTGTTAGCTCTTTGCAAGTTAATTGTAGGAACAATTGGTATTGTTGTAAGTGGTTGCTGTTTACAAATCGCTAGCTAAGTAGCTAGCTAGTACTTTTGCTAGCTATGTGAAAAGTTGCTAGTGATTAATTCTATTTGAAATATGTTCTGAAGTTTCCTGTTAAGATAGAAATTTATTGATCCCACAGGAAATTGTTGTGCCAGGGTGTCAATACAAAGGAACATGCACAAGGAATCACACAAGATATATATATAAAACATAGAGAATATAAAAGTACCAACAATTAAGGTCCAAATGCAGCAACAACCTGGAACTCAATGCCCAGAAGACAGTGGAGATGATTGTGGATTTCAGGAAAGCCACAGCCCCTCTGCCCACCCTCACCTGTAATGATACCCCCATCACCACTGCAAATTCTTATCGGTTCCTCGGCACCACCATCACCCAGGACCTCAAGTGGGAGCCGACCGTCAGCTCCCTCATCAAGAAGGCCCAGCAGAGACTGTACTTCCTGCGACAGCTGAAGAAGGCCAAGCTGCCGGCCAAGCTGATGGTGCAGTTCTACACGGCCATCATCGAGTCCATCCTCAGCTCCTCCATCACGGTGTGGTACGCCGGGGCCACTGCCAGGGACAGACTCAGACTGCAGCGCGTTGTGCGCTCAGCTGAGAAGGTGATCGGCTGCAGCCTTCCATCCCTCCACGACCTGTACGTCTCCAGGACTGTGAGGCGAGCAGGTCGGATCACAGCTGACCCTGCTCACCCTGCACACGGACTGTTTGAACCACTCCCCTCAGGCAGGAGGCTTCGGTCCATTCGGACCAGAACCTCCCGCCATAAGAACAGTTTCTTCCCCTCTGCTGTTGGACTCCTGAACACTCATAATGCTACCTCATAATTTCTGCTTTGGTCACATTACATCTGTATGATAATTGAATACTCCATATGTACTGTTTTCTAAGCTTTTTTATTGTTTTCTATTGTATGGGTGTACATATGGTTATGTTATGTTTTTAATTTTACTTTGTGGGTGTACACAGGCTTATGTCTTATGTAATGTTCTCATTTTTACTTTATTTTTACTTTATTTTACTTTACTACTATTCGCACCTTATGTCGAAGCAAATTCCTAGTTTGTGAACCTCGTTCATTGACATGGCGATAATAAACTGATTCTGATTCTGATTCTTCAAATCAGGTCAGTTGTGGACAGAGACATTAAAGTGTTTATTGTAGTGCAGTATTAATTTTTATTGTCCTATGTATAGAAAGGGGGAGGAATTGAAAAGTTTCATGTTGTTATGTGTCAACACAATCCTGGTTCATGTCTCAAGCTCAGGAGCCTTATTTATAGTTTCATTAAGGTCAGAGGTAAGTTCGGTAACAAGTTAAGAAAATGTATTTTCTCCACAACTGGGCCGAATATGAATGAAAAATCTGCCAAAATCCAATAAAGACTTTGAAAGACATTCAGTAAGGTTGAACAACTACTGATCAGGATTGCTTTAAAATATTACAGGAAAATCTGCTTGAAAGCAAAATATAAAAAGAACGAGGGATGAGTTTTGCTTCGTTCTGTATCTGCTTTCAGTTTATGGACAACTAGCAAAACCTCACTTTTTTTTGTTGCTTTAGTTTACTTAGTAATAGATTATCCGCTATGTCCTTGGCTATTTTAAAATATTTTATTCTAATTATTTTAAAGCCTTAGGCTGCAGCTCATAGCAAACTTCGATGTTGTCTCCCTGGAAAAGTTGCAGTGACATGGAGACTCTGTTTTCTTATGTAACACGATCCCTGCACATCACATCCTGCCAGCAGGCAGCGTAGAGGAAATGTCAGCTGCTACCTCTTCCTCTGCTGTCAGCCTTGGCATGCTGTCGCTCTGCTCTTCAGCAAACTGCCCTTCAGATAATGTCCCGACCTCTGTCCTGGTTTCTGGGCTTTCAGATGTTCTCCGTGTCTCACAGCGTTTCTGCTTCTGTCTCTCTCTCTCTCTCGTTCCTCCAGCATTTGCGTTTGTCTGTGAACGAGAACGGGCAGTGCCACGTCCATCACTTGTGGTTCCACACTGTGACGGACATGCTGCGACACTTCCACGCCCACCCAATCCCCCTTGAGTCCGGAGGCTCTGCTGACATCACGTTGCGCTCATATGTGCAGGTGCAGCGAAGCTCCATGGCAGGTATTCCAAACGCTGACACGTAACTTTATGTTCTGCACATCTAAAGTCTCTGAATCAAAATATGTTTGTATGTTTTGTTGTCCAAATATGAGATGTTCGATTTAAGTTTGATCTGGCTGGGTGAGCTGGAAAAGATCCAACAGCTGACACTGAGAAACAAGTCATTTCATTTGAAGCTGCTAACGCTAATTAAAACAGAAATCAACAAAATGAAACTAGCTCGCCAACGTTTTAAACAAAGAATGCGCCTGATTTGTTAAATACTCTGGTTATGTGCTGTCGATGACTCGGCTACTACCACACCATTTATAAGCACATATAAAACTATAAAAAACTGTAAATATAAAAAACTATAAACTATAAAACTGACTGAGCTTTAGCCATCTTTGTGTTAGCTAAGGTTGATTAGCTGTGGTGCCCATCATAAAATGGTTTGACTCCTAAATGTAATGAATTGTAAAAGTACACTGAACTCTCAGAAAATGTCATTAAAACTGAGTTTAACTATAAAAGATAAATTGGCAAAGTTTAAAAAGAGATCTTGTGCAGTCGGTTAGTGCTCAGAATATTCATTGAGGATGACTCTCAGCTACTATGCACCAAATTTTAGCTCATCGTCTCTAAAATTGGTTGAGGTATAGTCACTTTTGTGTTTGCTAAGGTCCCTTTGCTATGGTAGCCATCTTGAATTGGGTTGACTCTTAACTTTGGCCAGTTGTAGATTCAGTGATTTCTTTCTCAGAGTTTCATAAAAGTCCATCCTGTGGTTCATGAGATATTTTGCTAATGGTACGCACAGACAAACACTGTCTTAATGCAACTGTATCATTGAAGACAGATGTTTGTGCCAGGTGTGCACAGGGCCTTTGATCACAGCGTAGGAACCAATTATAAGATTTCTAACAATCGTCTTTTTTTATATCTTTTTGATGTTTAAAAAATATTTTTCTTATTTTACTTAAAAATTGTGATAGGTTCATTACATAAAATCCTAAAACCCAACAATTCAAATTGCAAACTGTAATGCAACTAATTAGGAGGAAGACAGGGACAACAAATACGTCACCATAAGGCACCAAAGGAGCAGTCGCACCAAACGGGAAAAGCCGATGGTTTGACTCCTTGAAAGTGTCCTTTGTTGCTCAAAGTAAGCTGGATGCCTTTTGGATTGGATAAATAAAATTAAATTTGCCCATCATATATGAGCACATTTGTAGGTTTGTTCATTTCAATGCTTGAAGGTAAACTAAAGTGAACTCAACGTATTTCTGCCGAGAAAATAAAACAAATTTCTTTATAATTCATCTAATATGTGTCCTTGATGTCCTAAATGTATGACAGATGAATTATTTAAAGTGGTATAACGAGTTGTATTAAAAAAGGATGTTAATGGGTGTTTTTGAGTGTGGAACAAGATTAGACGAGTGCATCACGGTTTGTCTACATTAGGTTTAGCCCGATCTTGTTGTTGTCCTCGTTTTCTTAATTAAATAAATAAAGTAGTTTAAAAACAACAGAAGTTTCTTGAATCGATTAATTGGTTAACGGGCGAGAACTCTCCGAAAGTTGACGATGTCAATGAATAATAAGGCTTAAGCTTTAAAAACAGAAGAAGCAGAGCTAAAACTCAGTGACCCCCCCACCGCCATGTCCTCCGTACCACCTCTGCCTTCCACTTTCCTGGCGTGGGATAAATGCCCTCCTGTGCAGCGGAGTGGGGTGGGGGGCACTAATCCAGCTGAAGTTTATCATGCAGACTGAGACTCCCACCTCCACCCTGATGGTCACAAAGAGCCTCTCTGTTTTGCCAAGACGCTGGACATACACACACTCACACACATCAAGTGAGGGTCTGATTCAGGGTGTCAAAGGCTTTACTGATCCACTGGTCCAGCATGTCTTTGGCCCCAGTGTTGTTGGTGTTACTGCCCACCAAGAGAAAAGATAATAAAGGAGGCCCACACTTGCTTGTGTGTTTATATGCAGCTCCATGAAGGGGCCTTTGAGCTCTTCAGTAAAACAAACAATTATCAGCAGCACAGATTAATCATTTCCAGTAATGCATCCTCCATTAAAAAAAACATGTATTTCTTCTCCCCACAAGTTGCCACAGATGTGACTGCGCCTCCAGTTCTCACTCCTCCCAGTGCAGCCTGCAGGACCGATTCAGCCCCACCAGCTCTTCACCCTCCTGGGATCACTGCTCCTGCAGGGCCCTCTTCAGACGCCCCCCTCTCCTCGAGCACCTCCTCCTCACCCACTGCCCTTCCTTCGCTCTCCAGAAGCGATCCAGGTACCGGAGGAGGTGTGGGAGGAGGCCTACAAAGCCGGAGCAACAGCTCTGAACGCCTGCTGGAGGCCTCTAGTGGCGCCTCTGAGGATTATCACGACGCCGATGGGACTCGCAGGGCCCGAGCTGTGGAGAACCAGTACTCGTTCTACTAAAAACGACCCGGATCAGAGCTTGAGTGGTTTATTTTCTGTCTGAGGAAGATGCAAGAACATTGAAGTGACACAGAGCACTCTGCACACAAATCACTTTATCACACGGCATTTTATCCGTTTGTTTTTGTTGTAAGAACATTTCCTGTTTCTTGGATTTGTCAAGCAAACGACGCCAAGCTCCTTTAATTTCTGTGGCTTTGTTTCATATTCAGAGACAAAAGATAATTACGCAGGCTGAGGGTCGTAATAAGAAAAAGTGCTCGCTAGTGTGCGTCAATACGCTCAAAAAAGGAACAGAAAACATAATCGAAGGCAAAGAAAGTTGAGGGAAAGTCATCCAGGGGAGTCACATGGCTTCAATTCACTTTTCACCTCCACTTCCTGTTCACCTTTACCCACAGTTCCCCAGGAGCAGAGTCTGTGTCACCACCGTTGTGGAGGACTGAAAGTTTGAAATGACCCTGAAGGAAACAGTCCCTCCCATCGGAGCTTCTGAGAGCATCCCCTTAATGTTTATAAAGCTGCTTTGAGTCTGTCCCGGATATCCTCACTGTCCCTTTGGGGGTTTTCCACAAAGTCCTCCTCTGGGTCTTTAAACTAACACTAATACAGCAACCAAATGTATTGGAGATATTTTCTTAAACTTGTACAGCCTAAAGACTCCTGCCTGAAGATTGCTCTGGACTCAAATGGACCTTTACTGATATCTTCAAGGATGGTGACGCTGGCATCACACATCAACACAAAAGTCCTAAAATAAGATGCAGGTGATTATGTCACTGCCAGTCTCTGCTTCAAACATACTAAACATGCATATATTGAAATTGGTTTGAAAGTTTTAGTCATACACACGAACAAAAGTTCAACTTTTTTTTTTCCTCTAATCTGGACAAGTTGCCTTCCATGTTAATCTCCTGCTGGGTTATAATTGAATGTGAGGTGATGTGTTAGAGTCCAAATATTTTTAAATGGTATATGTGCCACAGTGGAGTTTTTTAACAACATGGATTTCCAGATCCCTTTGTCTGGTGATGGTTATGTATTCACACACACACACACACACACCATATTGAAAATCTGTAGATTAGATACGCTGTTAATATAGATACTTTAAAGTAACGCCTTGGAGATATTATTGTACCTAATCCAGCATTTCTGGAGGGACAGTTTATTTAATTTAATTTTTTAATCCTATGGCAACATTGTGTACTGTTTTATGTGGCCTGCAGGTGAACTTGTGGGTAAGAACTGGAACAGCACAGGTAGAAAAACAAAATATAGCCTATTGGGTGACCATGCTTGAACAGAAAGCTGTAAGAATGCTTTTTTTTAATGCTATAGCAATTAGCTATAGCTATTAGCAAAATTCTGAGCCCTGAGCAAAACAGCTAGCCTAAACCTGCCTGTAGCTTATGAGGCTACAGTGTTAGCAGATGGCTAGCTTAGCTTAGTAAAACAACTAGCCTAATGCTTACCATACTGTACCACGTTATTTATAAAGCACTTAAAAACAGCAGCAAGGCCAACCAAAGTGCTGTACAGCAAAAACAAACAAGCAAAGGACACGGGATAAAATATATAGATCCAAATATGTAAAGATTAGAACTAAATGATTAACATTATATAATGCAGACAAGTTAAAATCTAAGCCAGGGAATAAAAGTGTGTTTTTAAATGAGACAAAAATAGTAAATGAGGGAGCCTGCCTGACACAAGTCATTCCACAGTCTTGGACCTGCAATAGAGAAAGCCCCGTCACCTCTGAGCTTAAAACAAGTGCCTGGAACTAATACAAGCATCTGGTCTGTTGACCTCAGAGAGCGCTGCGGCTGTGGAACATATGGCTGCAGCAGATCAGCAAGATGGGAGGGGGCAGAACTAAAAACATACAGAAGTATTTTTAAATGAATTTGAAAGTGGACCGGGAGCCAGTGAAGGGAGACCAGAACTGGAGTAATGTGCTCTCTTTTTCCTGTACCAGTTCAAAATCGGGCTGCACCATTTTGAACCAATTGTAAACGTGCAATGGAGGTCTGACTGATTCCAAAAAGAAGTGCATTGCAGTAGTCATTGCTTGTAGCTAACGAGGCTACGCTGTTAGCAGATTGATAATTTGGCAATTCTTCAAACAAAGTAAAAGAACTAGCCTGAAATGGGTTTTTTTTTAGCTTTTGAAGTGACACTGTTGGCTTTAAACTGTAGATTTTAAGGCTACACTAGGTTAGCTTAGCTTAGCACAAACCTGAGAACAGTTTTAAAAAAAACCTGTAAATCTGTCATTAAAAAAAAAAACTAAAAAGGTACACTCTTACACATTTTTATTTTATGCAGTTTTAAGTCTCCACTACATTTTAGGGAGAAAAGGTACTTTTTAGTCCAATCACTTTTTTTAATCTATAAGTAATTCTAACATTAGGCTTCAACAAAATGTTTTGCAACTATTTAAAATACAGCTGATTGTTAAAAATTTAACTTGTGTTTTTCAACCTTTATCAGTTTTGACATAAGACAGATTTTTTTTTTATTTATTAAACCTAATAAATCAGGACTTTGTATATTATTGTGTACCTGACAGTCTTGTGTTTAAAACCATTTGGCAGGCAACTAGTGGATATATATTTTTTATATATTGTGCCATTATTGTGTTCAATGATAAGACCACATCTTACGTTCTGGACTTTTGAATTAAGGAAACGTGCATTATTTCATAACTTAATTTTGCCTGACGTCAGCAGTGGTGGCTCCGCTCAGTTACCAGAACAGGAAGCAGAACTCATTGTTAGTTGACTGCATTAATAATTGATGATAGAAAAAAAAAATACTTTTAGTTCAGATAACTTTTTTTTAAGAAATAACACAAAAGAACACATTATCAATTGCCATTACTTCATTCAGTTGATAAACTGAAGCAAACCAACCTTTTTCTAACACTATTACAAATAAATATCTGTTTTTATTGTGTGTTTTTAAAATGAGGGAACCCATTTTAGGTGATTGGGAGGTAATGTCATATAGTCATGATGACACAAAGCCATATCGGGAGCAAACAAACTTTTCCACATTTTGAATTTGTAGTCTATAGTGTGTTGAACATACAGTAACTGAAGGCATTAAACACTTATCATAAAAAAAAAAGTTTTTAAGCACCTGAAACTTATGCAACACTTTCCTCAGTTGGGTGAAACATATCAAAAGCCAAGGCGCCCGTCTTTTCAAGCATGGCCACGCTGTCTCAAAGGTGATTTCAGTGGAATGAAGCAGTTCATGTGC